CCCCTCCGCCCGCTCTCTTCTCAAGCCTTTCTCTCCCCAAGGGGCCTCTGGATCCTGGGCTCTCCTGATCCCTGAGATCCCGACCTGCTAGATTTTCTTGATTTCTTAGAATCTCTCAATCTCTGGGTGCCTCAAACCATTAGATCTCTCCTTTATGATTCCCGGACGTCTGATCCACTGGATCACACTTCTCTAATTTCCCAGGGTCCCGCCATCCTCGAGTGCCCTCAACCTGCTAGGTTTCTTTTCTCGTAGCCCCGGGATCCCCGCACTCCCGCTACCAGCTTACGAGCTCCCTTGGATCCAGTGGCCCGGGGTCCCCGGACTCCTTCAGCCGGATCCCGGGTGGGCGCCGGGCGGCCGGTCCCGGGCCTTTCCCCTATGGCCGCCCCCCCCTCCCATCTCGCCGGGCTCCCAGGCTCTCCCGGGCCTGGGTCTCCTCCGCCGCCCGGCGGCTTGGAGTTGCAGTCGCCGCCACCGCAGCTGGCCCAGATCCCAGCTCCGAGCTCCGGGGTCTCCTTCCACATCCAGATCGGGCTGACCCGCGAGTTTGTGCTGCTGCCCACCGCCTCCGAGCTGGCCCATGTGAAGCAGCTGGCTTGCTCCATCGTGGACCAGAAGGTGAGGGTGCAGCGTCTCTCCTCCAGCTTGGGGAGAGGTCTGCAGGGGGGCGGGGCGCTGCCAGAGGTGGCCTGGAGCCCGGCATAGGGGAGGGAGAAGAAGGACGATGAAACCTTGGGCGACTGGGAGGTGGGGGTGGGGCATTTAGCCCCCCAGTTGCCTCCTCACCCCACTCTCCTTTTGAGGGAGGCCAGGGCAAGGGTGGGGTGCTCCAAAGGTCTCCCCAAGTTGCGTGTCCCTGTATGTTGTTGTTTTCTGCAGCCAGCAGGGAGGAAGGGAGAGGCCAGCTAGGTGTAGAAGTGGGAAGGAAGGGGCCGGTGGGGTGAGCAGATGGGGGACCTCCGCATTCAAGCCCATCCCGGACCTCCCATTTGGTGGAAACAGTAGAAATCCAAGCCGCACTGGCTGTGGCTATCGGGTGACACGTGTGGGTGTGGGCGCTTGCACTAGCTGCCGTGGGGTAAGTGAGGTCTCAGAGCCCAATCTCTGCCCTCCCCCAGGCCTGAGATGTGTGTGGTGGGGCCAGCACCTCTTTGGAACCCCCAGAAGCTCTGGGGACTCTGTCCCCACTCCTCAGGTCTGATGCCGGCCTATGAAAACAGGCCTTCCCCAACCCCAGCCTTACCTCGGTGAGAAGCTGGGGATCACGGGCCGAGGGGGAATCAGGTGGCACTCAATGCATGAATTCTAGAACGTCAAAAGTTAGGATAGTGGGATCCTCTGTTGTTGGAATTCGAGACTGTAAAAATGTTAGAATATTGGATTCCTGGGCTGCTGGAATCCTAGACTGTGAACATGTTAGACTTTTGGAATGCTGGGTTGTTGCAATCCTAATGGTAAAATATTCAAACACTAGAATCCTCGTGTATTAGATTTCTAGAACATGAAAATACCAGACCGTGCTACTCTGGGGTGGCGAAATCCTCAAACATAGAATATGTTCGAACCTGAGATAGATGTATATAATACTATCATGTGAGCATGTTGGAATCCCAAAATATCCACGTTCCAGAATCTTCTCAGACCCCTGATAATGAATTCTTTGGGCTTCCGAGAAACCTCAGGAACTGAGCCAACTCCCCCGTTTTACAGACAAGGCAACTGACACCTAGAGAAAGCCCC